ATATTGTTCAGGGAATTCTTGGAGCCTGGGCTACTATTTTAATTTTTTTTTCATGTCAAGAGCGACTTGAGAAACTGCAAATTGCTTCTGGTGTGAAAGAATTGGCTGCCTGCAAGGACATTGCCCAGGGGACACCTGGATGTTTTACCATCCTGTGGGAGGCTTCTATCATGTCCCCACATTAGAAGCTGGAGCTGACAGATGGAAACTCATCCTGCTCCCCGGATTCGAACCACCAACATTTCGTCAGCAGTCCTGCCAGCACAAGGGTTGAACAAGCCTTCCTTGGCCTCCAGCTTTACATAGTAATCTGGAAGCAGAAGCAACCTCCATATTTAAGATGTCACACGTTAGCTTTATAGGCAGGCCTACAATCATGGAAACTACAAGTTTAAGTTGCTTTTTGACCAAAAGAAGCTGCTGCTGTTTCTGACCTCATCAGAGTACATTACACATCACTGATACCTTTTAGATTCAATGTTCACCCATTTAACAAAAAAAAAATCCTTATTTATTTATTGTCCACTTCAAAAATTATTTTGTGAAAGACCAATTCCAAATTATCTTCAGCAATCAACAAACTTCATATATACACATCACTGTGTAGGTTAGAAGACTTCCATTTCATGTTTGCATTCACAAATATTGAAGCTTTCAGCCTTTTCTGTTTAGTATTAATCATCACATTAATCACAATATTATGTATGCTGAATTCAAACTCAAGATTAATAGCATGACCAAGCAATATTATTTTTATGTGCTGTCAAAAAACCACTACTTGAAATGTGCAAAAGACCTTTATATTTGTTGTTCATAAAACATAAAAAAGAGTAATGTTCAAAATGGTTCATTTGTTCTTCAAGGAAGTACAGTTGCTTCATATAAAATTATGTACCGGAACAAGTAATTGTACTGGAACACAAAGTAATTTGTAAATACCTTAAATTGCTAGACTGTACAAAGACCTATACAATTCAATGTTGTCTATTAAAATATAAAAACATCTGAATATGTGTCCAGTGAAGGACATTAGAAACATAATTCTTTGCTTGCAATCAGGCTTCAAAATTTCATCCGGCCTCAATTACAAGTGGAAATATAATTTCACATTATGAAGGCCACAATTGTAGTTCCACCTTTGGTTAACTGTTCTCTTGGCAATCCAAGGCATACTTCTTGTCTAACATATAATCTGATACTTCATTTTCTTTTGTAGATCCCACCAAATACTTGCATGCTCCCTTTCCTAAACCCTAGCTACACAGTATAAGGCTGTATATATATATATTTTAAAAAACTTCACAACAATACTTGAACTGAAAGAAACTTAGGTTGCTGTAATTTTTCTAGGCTGTATGGCGATGTTCCAGAAACATTCTCTCCTGACGTTTCGCCCACATCTATGGCAGGCATCCTCAGAGGTTTTGAGGACCTCACAACCTCTGAGGATGCCTGCCATAGATGTGGGCGAAATGTCTGGAGAGAATCCTTCTGGAACATGGCCATACAGCCTGGAAAACTCACAGCAACCCAGAAAACCCTCAATAATAATAATCATCATCATCATCATCATCATCATCATCACATCATCATCATCATCATCTTTATTTATAACTTGCCACCATCTCCCCAATGGGGACTCGGGGCGGCTTACATGAGGCCAAGCCCACCAACACAATGCAATAAATAAAATCAAAATGCAAACAATAACATAATAAATTACATAAGACATTAATACACACACACACATATAATTAAAATAAAATCATTCATAACACAGTAATAGTGAGTGGGCCACATGTACAGAATAAGATACTAAAGCCAAAAACGCGGGGTGAGGTCGAGAGGAATCTTCGTACAGGCGAGGAGAGGGTGTACTCTAAGGACAAATGTTGAGGAGTCATGGCAATATCAGGTTGTATGGTTAATCACCAAAGGCACAACACAATATAAAAACACAATTATAACTTGTCCTTATCAGTAAGTACTTGCTTTTAAGAAAGGTGAAATGAGAAAAGACAAATTGACATATTAACTTCAATGATACTCTGCCATCCCTGGACCTGGGTCTCTGGGTTGAATTAAAACAAATGTAATAAGTCCAAATATCTTCTGAACTGACATATATCTATTGCACACTAAAATTTATCACATTAAAATTGAATAGAGGGAAGGGTCTCAGTACACTTCGCAAAAGGTATCACAAAGTCACTGCAGAAGTAAAGAAATAACATTTAGTACAAATCAGGTGAACGGCTGCTGAGCAGTTAGGCAGGAAGTAGTGTGGGATTAATGAAGTCATTACAGACGTGAATCCATCAATACTTGCCAATCGGAAGCTATGTGTATGCATGGAGATGAAGTAGTGATTCTAGATTTATTTTATTTTAGTGACTAACTTATGATACCATCTATCTCCAACTCAGTACTACCCAATGCAAGTTTCTAGTCTTTTGTCAAATGACAGTGCAACCACTGTGATTTATAACTCCTGTGATGCTTTCCGTCTTCATTTTACAGATCAGGATACTATTATTAAAACAGACTAGAGATAAAACAGATAACTGAAATATTTATAGCATTGGCCAATTTATATATACATGAATCCCTAAACCCTGCTTGATGTTACTAAAGTGAATAATGTCAGGTGAAAATTATGATTAACTAATCTAGATTTGAAAAAGTGTTATAAAGGTTAATTAGATATTCATTAACCATAAAAATCAGATGCCGTGTTCTAGGAAGAACCGTTAGGTTTCCATCATGAATGCTAGCATTTCTTTTACTAGCAGCTCTTTCCAGCCAACCATATTTGTTTCATCATTTATACTGAGTTTAATTAGCATGTCTATAAAAAGATACCGGTAATGCTCAGTGACACATGCCAGGAAACACTACGATACTTCCTGAGGTGAGGCAGATACTAACATGGTAACTTGCTCTATGAAAATGTTTGGCCTTTCATTGCCTCTTGAAAACAAGAGCATAAATATGCCAGTTTTAAAAAAGCTGCCACGAAAGAGAATATTTAAATGTGCATTTAAATAATTTACCATGAGTATCATTCTACACTCTGCATTACTTATACCATAAAAAAGAAGAGACGATTCTGGGGCACAGTCAAATACATTAAGAAAAACCTACACTAGTAATTGGAGGGATTATGCGAAAGAGAAATAAAGTTAATAAATCAAAGCATGTTCTATCTATCACATGGAAAGACTTCCAAAGTATAAACAGTAGCATTTGGAACCTGATTGTATTTTCTAATATTGCTTTATATTTGAATGACTGCACATCAACTAGTTTAACTGAACCCCCTCATGGCGCAATGGGTTACACTCTTGCGGCAGCAGGACTGCTGACCGAAAAGTTGGTGGTTTGAATCTGGGGAGCAGGATGAGCTCCTGTCTGTCAGCTCTAGCTTCCCATGCAGGGACATGAGAGAAGCCTCCCACAGGATGGTAATACATCTGGATGTCCCCTGGGCAACATCCGTGTAGACAGACAATTCTCTCACACCAGAAGCGACTTGCAGTGTCTCAAGTCACTCCTGACATGAAAAAACAAAAACAAAAACGAGTTTAATTTATTTTCAGCTGTCTAATGTAAATAATACTAGGCAATACATATTAAAATTCTGTTAGTTACACTACTATGAGAAGAACAATACAATGGCTACTTTCTAGAAACCCTTTATAAGAAACAATAATACAGAGATGTGATGAATTAACAAGCTTAAAAATAATTGGCATCTACACTGAAAGAAGAACACTATGAAAATTAATTCTAAACAGGCATTCAAATTATTTATGCTGAAAGTCTTACAAGAATGAATGCATAAAATCACATGTTATTTTGTCCCTCTCCCCTGTCAACACCAGTGTTTTGATCTTTGGATGGAAGGGAACAGCTGCACAATTTTTTGAAAACCCATTTTTTCCATTGAATCACCAAAACTCCACCTCTCACTTCCCTTTTTCCCATTTCCTCATAACAGATCATCTCCTAATCTTCCCTTCTTTTCTTTAGCTACTGATTCCACATGAATCCCCGCAGAAGTAATAATAATAATAATAATTATTTGTCAATACATCACACAGTCTTAGAAACTTAGGAAGTGTCTGACATGTGATCCAATACAACTTTGTTTGTCTACATAATTAATTAATTTGATGACCACAAGGAGCTAAAGAACTTCTATCTGCATTTCCCTACTATTTATTGACACCAAAATTACATTTTTTCTTCTTCAAAACACTGGGGGAATACAGGCAGCTTGTTCTAAATGCCGCAAAGAGGCCAATTGTGTGTCCCAGGAAAGTAACTCAGAACGTTTTGATGTAATCTGTTATATGTCTCTTTGTTGGCATTGAATGTTTGCCAAATGTGTTGGAAAACATCCTGAGTCCATCCGGGGAGATAGGGCAGTCTATAAATAAAGTATTATTATTACTATTACTATTAATTAATTAATTTGAATAACTTATTATTAATAATAATTAATTTGATGAATAACTTAATTCTTAATTAATTCAGATAAAAATAATGCTTGCTTTTAAATTAATTTCAACACATAGCCTTTTAAAAGCCAAATTTCCAATTAACCTACTAAAATCTGTTGAATTAACTGTATATATCTTAATATGAAAAGTCTATTAGAACAGTAACCAGAGTTTGCTTAGGTTTGGATATATCAGCAAATGGTTGGCAGAAAATGGTGTGCTTGCCAAAATCCCATAAAGCAGGAATGGGAAATGTGTACCCTTTAAGATACAGTTGGACTGCAGCTCCCATTCGCTAGTAAAGTTAATGATGACAGATTATGGGAGCTGGAGTTCAACCTGTGGAGGGCTACAAATTATTCCGTGTCTGCCTCAAAGAAAGAGCTTTTCTTCATTCTGCCAGAACAACAGGGCTTTAAACTCTCTTTAAAAAACCAATTCCTACCAGGTTGTTGTTGTAGAAGTTGCATATCATTACAGTAAATATGTACTGACCTCACTGAGGTAAATAAAGAAGGAGCATGTGGACCCATCCACACCATAACTTGCATAACAAGGATCGGATCGCCACATATCTTTCATCCACTAGAAGGAAAAACAACACAGTCAGTTAGAGATTTTTGAGTGCAACTGCAAGACGTAAGACTCAGGGGGTGGCTAGAAAAGAAACAATTTCAGTGTAGGTTTCAGTCAGCAGCATGAAATAATTCCTACACCCTGTGAAGATTTCACAAAGGAAGTAGATGATCAACTTTACTATTCGGTAAGACAGTTCCCATCACAATACATGGCACATTGCAAATGAAAGTATAGGGAAAGAATTGCTTACAGCCATCAGGGCACTGTGCTGTGGATCCCATTGCAATTCTGCAAAATGTACTTGCTTTTTGTGTTCTGCTCCCCAGCATTATTGCTCTGTCTTGTCAAAATTTGCATCAGTATAAAACCCCCCTACATAAAGTGTTAACTTATCAAGTTATATGTAAATATATTACAGACAGCAACATTTTACAATTAAGTGTAATATATCTGCATAATTATTCTCCCTGAGAACGTCTCATGCCAAACCAGAATATACAGACACGAGATGTTGAAGAACAAAATGTCTTTATACTTTGATGCCAACTTCCTTGTAAATTTAAGGTCTGAAAGGATCTTCAAACAGATTTGTGTTGCTTGAAAACACAACACATAGTAGAACATTTCAGTTCTAATTAGTTGAAAAATTCTGATTACCTGAAGTACTTATCAATCCATGCCATGTGTCTGTTCATATGCTTAACACTTCCTAAAAACAGTATCATTTAAAGACTTATATAAGGTCCTAGCCAGTGATATGTAAGTTTCACCTCTGCCGTGCGTCTTCTCCTCTCCCAAGATTCAAAATCCATCCCAGTCCTGCAACCCTTCCAAAATAAATCTTGGAGGACATGGAGACTCCTTGTCTTTCGGTCATTTTGGACTGGTAACCTCAATCTATGTACCTACAGAATACCTCCCATCACCAAGTTGGGTTTGCTTGTTTTGTAAAATAAGAAATGCAATACGATATTAATCTTACTTTAATTTTGCCCTCGCAGTGGGGAAAACCATCCATGGGAGGCAGCTCACACTGTTCCTGGGCTCCATTAATAAGATCTAAAGGAGAAAAAGAGTCATAAAATAATCCAGTAATAGTGCATACATCAAAACAGGGGTTTTTTTTCATGTTATGAGAAGTTTTCCACCCTAGTTTGCCATGCAGATGAGTCACCAGTGAAATGCCAATTGAGTTCTAAAATTCAATGCTGCCATCTCTCCCTGCTGGGAAATTGGAAGAAGGCCATGAAGCCAGAGCAAAAATAAAACTCAATATGCAACAAGTATGCACAGACTGGAGAGGTTATTAAGAATTAATGGAAATAAATTCTTATTATAACAAAGTACAACTAGCTTTGTAACCAGGTTATATTAAAAGTGTAGAAATCATTACATTTCATGTTGGGAATGGAATACCTCAATGGTAAATAACAGATCTTAAATATTCACGTCATTTTAAAACTAATATACATTTACTTTATTACTGTATTTATGGATATGAAAGAACAGAGAGAAACAGTGGCACCACTAAAATTAGTGTCACTTTGTGTTTTAATTCATGTTGTCAATCTCAGGGCCTCTTTCTGAACCAGACCATACCATACCATAATATTGTAGCTAAAATACCAGAACATTTAAGAAAATTAGCAACTATAAAGATCAGCAGCAATGAACACAACAGCATGTGCTTGTTGCACCTGCAGTCAAAATTACATGATTCAAAGTGTCAGTGTTGTTAGGTAATAATGATAACTCTGACTGGAACACATGTACATTTGAAAGTTCAAAAAGTTGGTATTTTGATACAGTACATGTAAGTAAATGGACTTAGAAATATATTTTCGTAGTTATATCTTAACTACAGGGATATTCTTATAAACAATAAAACTTCGCATAAAAATATAATTTGGTGTCACCCAGTGCAATGCACACCATCTGCACCACGCCTAGTGACATTACTGGAGAGGAGAGAGAGACAGATAGTTTGGTTAAGCTAGTTGCAGAGAGTGGTTCCCATGTCAGTGGGATAGCGATCTGCTCCAAGTTTTAGTCCAAACTAATTTAGGTCCAGCATTTTTGATATTTCTTCGCCTCTAAAATCAAAGTAGATGTACTGCCCTACTGAAATAAATGCCACCAGCTGCTACTGGTCAAAAGATTAGTATTTGACACTTGAGACATCTCCCATTACTTGTTATCAACCAAAAGGAATTTGAAAAGGGACTTAGGTAATATATTTATATGAATGGAAACCTAGTGCTCGGGTCTAGATGACTAAGAGTAGGGGTCTAGCTGACTAAACTAATTTCCACAGAATGTCACAGTCATCTTATTTGGACAGATTCAATACAACCATGTCTTCCTAGCTGCTCTGAACTTCAATTGTATGACAACAAAGAAGTTATTTTTGATTTCTTTATTATAATCATGCCATTTGCTGGGTCTGGGTGTGGTTTATTCCTTGAAAAAACCGGAGAACCTATTTATGTCTTATGGTATCAGATGGATTCCCAAGGATTCTCAGTTTCCAGCTAGCATATCTTGCATTTCTAATGAAACTCAAATCAATCTGTGGGAAATGACTTGGGTAGCAGACATAATCATCAGTTTTCAGAGTTTGTTCTGCTTCCTGGCGTACCACTGAGTTGGAGGCAATGAAGTGTGTCTAGATGACATGGATATAGGTGATGGAAAACATGATGCAAAGATATTCAGTAATTGATAAGAGGCTGTACAGCTGTAACCTACTGTATCCGTTGTATTCTCAAGGTTTGCTGTACTTTTTCTGTGATGCTTCACTGTGCAGCACTGTAGTACTTTGGTAAACATATTTATTTATTGAGCCTATAGCCTCTTCATACAGAAGCTCTCTGAGTAGTTTCCAGGTATGAAATATGAAGGTAATCAAACAACAAGACGTGTACTTTGGCTTACTATTCACTTAGTAAGGTACGTTCACATATTAAGGTATGTGAGTATCAACCCAAAACACAAATATAGTAGTCATTTCACAACTATGCTTTTCTTGGTGTATGGAACGAGCTTTGGCTTCTTGCAAAATGCTAGCGTAGTCAAAATACTATACAGAATTAGTGTAGGCAGTGACAGGACAGAAGACATAACAAAGCATTAAGAAACAACAAACCAAACGCTATTGCTAAGATCTTGTGAACACAGCACATATGCTAAAGAAATTATGTCAAGATCATGTCACTGTTATAGAGAGAATATAGATGCACACCAAGGTCTATTTACGGATGTTCTGGATAATATTGACTCAGCTGGAAGCTATTATGAAGAGGACCACAATGAATGGGGGTTTACCAAGGCAAGCTGTGTTTGACAAGCGCTGCCCCTCTGCCTTTGCAGGCCTTGGAACTACATGAAAGGGCGGAGGAGACGGCAAATAGAGCACCAGCAGTGGTCACTGTCAAGTCAATCAGAAGCACAGTAATTATGAAAATCCTTTAAGCCAATATCTGATGAGTATGAGGTAGACAGCTGACATTTTGACTACTGCTTTAGAAAACACGGGGGGAAAACGATGTAAGGTCACTAATTTAGCCCAGTCCTACACTCGTCCTTCACTATAAAATCTGTAAATTAATTCAAAGAGAAGTTTGCAAGGGATTCATTATAGATTTTTCTGTCATAGGTCTGACTGGAGAGTGGCCTTTCTACAAGCTATTTATAATTTCCAGAAAGACATTTTTTCTTAAAAGAGACAGAACACCTCCACCAACTATTCAACATACACATCTGAGGGTTGTCATGCAGACTAAAAAGGGTGGCTTGAAAACTGCATGAGAGTGAGCAGAATTTCATCAAAGTAATTGGATTAAGTCCAGCATTAGTCACCAAAGAAGTAGATCCACTGAAATCAATAAGACTCATGAAAGTGATAATGAACAACTATCATTCATCTCAGTGGACATACTCAATGGAACTAAAACTGGATTTGCCTACCATCACCTCTCATTTTTTAAACTGCAGCTAGAAAAAATTGTTTTCATTTCCTTATGATAGAAGCTTAGAGTTGGAAGTGACTCCAACGACAATGTGGTCCAATCCCATTCTGCCATGCAGAAATAAACAATTAAAAACTCTTGAAAAATGCTTAAAATTCCTCAGAGATGGAAATTTCATCACCTTTTGAGACTGTCTGTTCCATTGTCGATCCAAACTACACAGCAGGAAGACAATTCTAATTTACTTTTAGGACAAGAAATTGGCTCATGTGTTCTACATTTCTTTTACATACAGTCTTTCCTTCCAGCATACCATAAAATACAGCTCAGTATGAGGACTTTTCTTCATAACACAAATGTACATTGCTGGATGGCTCCACCTATGCATTGCTGGCATACTGTTGGGGAAAAAATCTTAACTGTGAACCTCGTTACTTTGGAAAAACTACAGAGCAACCAGGCATTTCTTTTTGTTGTTATTGTATGCCTTTGAGTCATCTCCCATCACCTGAACATTAGGAAGAACTTTCTGACTGTAAAAGCTGTTCACCTTGGAAACTTTAAAACAGAGGCTGGATGGCCATCTATCGGAGGTGATTTCATTGTGCTTTTCCTGCATAGCAGGGGCTGGATTGGATGCCTCATGTGGTCATGTCTAACTCTTATCATTCTATATGTTTGAAAATTAAGAATAATCTACCAATTATAAATATGTCCAATATTTGATGATCAGTTACAAATGAAGATTCAAGTTCAGAAAGGCAAATTGGACTAAATTCTCAGACATGCTAGATGACATGATCATATCAGTCATGCCAGTTCCTGAGGAATACGAGCGCTTTATTGAAATAGTGAAAACCTGCTCATGGGCCTCTTATCAAGAGGCTGCAGAACCCACTACCTTCAGGGCATTACTCCTGAAACAGCTGCTTTGTTGGAAAACTATTACAGGCTCCACAATGAAGACCCATTTAGTGAACAAACTCTTCAGGCAGCGCAGAGCATTTTGTCTTCCATCTCTGAAGCCAAGAAAGAACAGTGGATAAAGGTGATAACAGAAGTCGACATGGATAAGAGCAGCCAGAAGGTGTGGAGGCTCCTAAGACGGTTGAGCAATGATCCCACACAAACTAATACCCATGCCAACATAAAGGCAGATCAGATAGCACACCAGCTCTTGAAGAATGGGAAACCCAACCTTGCCACCAAAGTAGGAAAGAAACCAATAGTCAGACAACCAGATATTGAGAACAACCTTCATGAACCTTTTAGAAAAATTGGGTTTCTATAGGTGTGGAAAGTCCAGGGTAGGAGAAAGAATTCTTGTCTGTTGGACCTAGGTGTAAATGTTTCAATTGGCCATCTTGATTAGCATTTGGTGGCCAATTGAAACAGTCACACCTAGCTCCAACAGACAAGAGTTCTTTCTCCCACCCTGGACTCTCCACACATATAGAAACCCAGTTTTCCTAGTTTCCAACAGACCTCACAACCTCTGAGGATGCCTGCCATGGACACTGGTAAAACGTCAGGAGAGCATGCTTCTAGAACATGGCCATACAGCCCAAGAAACCTACAACAACCTGACCCAATAGTGGCTTCTTATCAGCCTCTCTTCATGTCTTTGATCCCACACTGATGGAAATAATGAGTAGTACGGGGCAGAAATAGAAAGATACAATTTTGAAGTTAAGAAAATTTGCTTTTGTCACAGAAATTAAGAATCACAGGAATATTCATACAAACAAGAAGATACTTCTAAATCAGGCTAAGAGACTGAAGATAGTATAAATTAAAAAACCATTCATGTAAGCATAGGATTCTTTAAAAATCACATTAAAAGTCAATTATCAAGTTTGTGTTGTCAGGGTGGGCTTCCATTAAGCAGAATAAGGTGCCCCCTTCAATTGGTGGAGCATTTAAGTGGAATCTATAGTGTTTTACCCTTTCCAAGTCAAAACTATTTCTGTCTTGGAAACAAAGTGTTCTGAGATGAAATCTACATAGCTGCTAAAGCTGCACTAATAGTTCCTTTGAGCCCTCTTTTCTCATTTATATAGTATACTGATTTTCCCTTCAAGTCACAAAAAA